TTGAAAAAAAAAGAAGAAGATAAATCCTTAAACCTTATATAAAAAATAAAAAAAGTTAAGATGATACATGCATATATACAAGATTAAATATTGGTATCATGGTAAATTATAATATCAGTACTGTGTCATGAGTGTATAATAGTATATCAAAAGTTTCTAAGAAGTTTGTGTTTTTTTTTATATAAGGGTAAATAGCTCAGTATTTTTTTATATAAAAGTTCGAGTCTCTAGTTTGACGTTATGTATTTAATTACTTTTTTTTTATATATCTTTGAATAATATTTAAGTCTTCAATTTGTCATTTTAATCAATTTTTTAACTATAAGCAAATTTTTTACCAAAATTCTCCTAACATCAAAAAAAAAAAAAAAAATTAAAGACTCTAAAAATGAAATATACATGTCATGTGATTTAATTTTTTTCCTTAATATTTGAATTAGGAGCGTTTCGGTCAAAAAAATTACTCGTTATCAAAAAAAATTGATCAAAATGACAGATTAGATATTGAAACAATATTAAAGAACATAACAAATGTAATTAGAAATATAAAGACAAATTGAAGACTTGTACTATTATATAATAACAAATTAACTTGTTTATCCTTTATATAATGGTATGGATAAAACTTTTTCTTTGCTTTCCTTCTCTATTTTTTTTTCTCTTGTTTTTTTTAACTATCTCTTAATCTTTCTTTAAGGATTAGCATAGCTTGTAGCTAATCTATATATTCTTCAACTACTATAACATTCAAATTGATAGTTGGAGCAGCGATTCTCTTGCATGCGAGAAATTTGTTGAATGATCGAACAACTATAACAAAAAGACTTGATCTAGAGATTTTAGAAGTTTTCGAATGCATTACAAAGTAGTGTCAGAAAACCAAGGTAGCTACTTTTAATCTTGAACAAAAAGCATGAAGTGCTGGTAGCTAAACATGATGAATTGGCCAAGAAGGAAAATTCTAATGAGTAATTTAAAAAATCCGATCCGATGTGAGCGAACAAATTGGGATAGAGGCGGAGAACATGTCCTTGTTCCGTGGGGAACACGAACCCTGTGCGTGTATACGTATGCCTTTTGTCAAACATACCTTTCAAACAAGTGATCTTTAAAAATAAATTTTCACTGAGTTTACATTTTTATTATTGTTATTTAACTATGTACAATATTACATGAACTTAATATTAATTTTTGTATTGTACATTATATATTAACTATCAAATATTATACTGTAACTTCATGATACTATTGTTTTTTCATCAATAGGGAATTCTTGAACCCATCCCAAACTCGATGAAAAAATAAAACAAATTATTTCTCCCTCTCCAGACTTGATTAACATGGGCCGGAGATGGGGAAACTGTAACATGCTCATTTGCCATCCTTATATGTGAGTGACATTAAAGAATTGACAGGAGATATGAATAGTTTATTTATTTTTATTTTTTTAATTCACATACTTAAAGTTTTTAATAGAATCGGTTTGTTAAGATTTAAACTTATGATCTCTTATTGTAAAAAATCACTCTTCTGACTACAAACTCTTTTGTAGGGAGATATGAATAGTTTATATATACTAATAAAGAAATAGTGCATTTGAAAAATAATGCTAGCAATATTATGGCAGTGAATGCAAGTAATATGGATTAATTATGACAAAAATGGTGATAATATAACTTTTAGGTAGTATATGGTTTCTATCTTGGAATAGTAGGAATACATACAATAAGAATAGAAAATGGTGATAATATAATTTTTATTCTTTTTTTTGTTTTTTTTTCTAAATTGTCCCTTTAAACAAATCATACTTTTAACTTCTAGCCTATTTTCAAATCTAGACCATTGAATTTGTGAGATTTAATTTGGAACAATTGGATTGAAAACTCAAAATATAAAGCTAAAATCATAAAAACATGAAAAAAAATATTCTAAGAATAAAGGGAAAGAGAATGATAAAGACAGAAAATTTAAAGTGTATAAGCTATTAAACTAACTGATACCACTATCAAATGAGAGCTTTCGTTATACAATTTCATCCTAAGGTTTGAGAGAATTATGAATTTGAAATTTTAGATTAAAAACTATAAAATTCAATTTTTATGTTGATTAAATAGTTAAAAAATATGTTTTAATGTTAGATTTGTATTTACGTGGTTAAGGGGAGTGTTTCCATGTATTCTTTTCCATAAAAAATAAACTGAAAATACATGATTTCATGTAGTGGCCGGCGAGACTCATCCACACTAGGGCTTGGTTCCAAACCCAAGTCTTCATCCTCTTTGTCTCCGTTTCTTTTCATTTTTTTTTATTATAGTTTTTTGTAAAATATTTGCTACATGTATATGACTGTATTACAGAATTTTTTTTTAGACTTCATTTAATAATTTTTGAAGAAAATTAACAGATAAAAATTATTATTTTTTTTTTGTAATTTATATTAATAAAAAATTAATTAATCAAAGTAAGCTATAATATAAAAATTATTTTCGAAATTTATTAGTTGTAAGGGAGTTTGTGCGACAGTGTGCAATATGTCAAATATATAAATGGAGAAGGTTTACTCTATCTCTCCTTATTCCCGTGTCTATTTTCTTTTATATCATAATTATGAATTTTATTGAAGGCTTGTTTAAATTTCCTTAATTTTTAGATTAATGTAAAACTTAAATTCAATCTTTTTAAAAAATAAAAAGGTCAACCTCCAAATAATTTTTTTTAGTTTAATAAGGGAGATGAAACTTTTTTTATATGGAAATTTTTAGTTTTTAATCTGATTGGTTTGATATTTTTTACTTCAAATAATAATTATATTTTTCATGTTAACTAGAAAATAGAAATGAAAATTTATATTGGATGTTGATTTTTTATTTTTATTTTTATTTTTTACTTAGTGTAATACATACTAGTTAGATACTCGCGTTACGCTGCGGTCGGATAACCGTTATATACATAAAGTCAACAATTCATATGATATAGTGTATATAAAAATCTTATTTTTCATAATTAATATAAATCAAATTTATTTGCTAAGCAAAATCATTTGATTTATATATATTTATTAACAAAATAATCAATAATATTAGTATAAAAAATGGTATTTGAATAATTGAAAGATTCTTCTAAACCATTATTTCAATTATTTTATTTAAAAAATTATTGACTTTAGAAAATAAAAATAAATAAATAATAAATATTTGATGTTATGTATGCAAATATATATATATATCATATTCAGTAGATTCAGAATATATAGTATAAACAAAATTAAAAAAAAATCATCTAAGTTGTATGGAATATATTAAAATCAATAAATTGAAATAAAACTATTACAAAATTGGTTTCCCTAAATTCTTAATTTACAATGAAAGAGATTCTTAAATTGCAAATTAGATTATCAATTAGTTCATTTCATTTTGAGAAATGAATTTATTAATTCTTTTGGTTTCAAAAATAAATTATTTAATTTTTTAATTAGTATTGATCACGAATAATTTATTTTTTTATTTTATGAAATGTCTTTTTTCATATTTTACTTTTTTTTTAATTTTGTTCTGAGATTATTTTTTTTAATCTTCTAATTTACCATTTTCTTAATTCTGCATGATGGTCCTAAAAAAGTAAAAAGAAATGAGGTCCCTAATTACTACTTTTATGAATCATTGAAATTTATTTTGCACCTCTTTCTTTCCAATTTCTTACCTCAAAAACCATCTTTACCTCCCTTTGGTGCATTTATTTTTATTTTTCTCTTTTCTTTTTTTCATTCACATTAATTTATACAATTATTTGAGAATGAATAAAGATCACTAAAACAACCCAACATATGATTTCATGGTCTCTTTATATAATACTAAGATACTTTTGATTGGATGAGATAATTTTCTATAAAGAAATAAAATGTTTTTTTTTTCATATTTTACTTTTTTTTGTTTTTTTTCTATTTCTTAAAACAAAAAATAAAAATAGTAAAATGGTAAAAAGGACAAAAAAATTAGTTTTTAAACCAAAGGACTAATTAATTTATTTATCAAAGAATTATTTTTTTGTTTTTTTCTATTTCTTAAAAAAATAAAAATAAAAATAGTAAAATGGTAAAAGGGAGAAAAAAGAATAATTGTTTTTGTTTTTTTTTCTATTTCTTAAAAAAAATAAAAATAGTAAAATGGTAAAAAGGATAAAAAAAAATTAGTTTTCAAAGCAAATTGACTAATTAATTTTTTTCTCAAAGAAAGAGAGACCAAGAAGCAAAAAAAAATACATGAATAGAGATAATGAGTCTAGAGCTACAGTGAATGAATAATTTCTCATTTCTCAAAAAAGAGGGATCAAGAAGCAACAAAAAATACATGAATAGAAAAATGATAAAAAAGATAAAAAAAATTAGTTTTTAAATCAAAGAGACTAATTAATTTGTTTATCAAAGAAAGAGAGACCGAAAAATAACAAAAAATACATGAATAAGGATAATGAATAGAGTTACAGTGAATGAATAGTTTCATATTTCTCAAAAAAACAAAACCAAGAAGCAACAAAATAAAAAATATATAAATATGGATAATAAGTTTAGAGTTACAGTAAATTAAATGAATAGTTTCACATGCATTTTTTTAAGGTTTTTTTACAAAGTGTATTTCCACTAGGAGAGTCCCGAGTAACTTCTCCCAAATCACAATAAAGCCCAAAATGGACTGTAGCCCAAATCACAATAAAGCCCAAAATGGACGGTAGCCCAAATCACAACAAAGCCCACCCATAACAGAAAAACGAAACTCGGACTCAGTCCGATCTAAAATACATCTCCCTCGTCGTTCTCTTTTCGTCCATCTTCTCCGTATTTCAATCAGCACAGCAGACGAAAAGAATAAAAGAAGGAAAAGAAGAAAAAAAGAAACCCTAAAAATCAACTACACACAGATACTCCATTTTTCACTTCCGAAATTGAATGTTAATACAACCAAACACAGTAGTAATTGACTTGACAGTGATCAAATTGTTGGACAATGGGAGCTAGTCGCAAGTTACAAGGCGAGATCGATCGTGTTCTGAAGAAAGTTCAAGAAGGCGTCGACGTTTTTGACAGTATCTGGAACAAGGTTGCTAACTCCGATCGTGTTCTTATTTGTTGTTTGATTCTTTATTTTTTTAGTGTTTTAGTTGCCGAGACGTAACAAATTTAGGGTGGAATCAATTAGAAGTATTGTTTCAGTGTGTTGAGTGTGTTTGTTTTCTTTTTTATTTTCTTTTATTTTTTTCCGGATGTGTTTGGTTGCTGAGAAAACGGAGGAAGTTGAGTTATGGCGGAATTTCATTTTCATTACTTTTCTTTTTTGTTAAATGCATAATGAATTGCTATTTTGTGCGGATTGAATTTTAACGGTTAGTTTGTTAATGCTGTGATTTCATTGAATTGTGTGAGTTATTTTTTGTTTCAGTTTTTTAAATAATAGGTTAGAATAAAAATCCCTGATTCAGTATTTTGTTTTTCTGTACTTTCATTTCATTTTATGCTGTGTTTGGTTGTGGAGAAAATTGTAAGCTTTTCTGCATATTTTTTTCTTGGTTTAAAAAATTGACTTGTTGATGCAATTTAGTGATATATAACTCTTGCTCAATTGAGTTTTCTTGCACCTTTTGTTCTATTTTGATGTTATAGTATTTAGTGTAATTTTATTTTTCCAATTTGCTTGGTTGTTTATGAATGGGTTACTGTTGTTTGTAGGTGTATGATACGGACAATGCGAATCAAAAAGAAAAGTTTGAGGCAGACTTGAAGAAGGAAATTAAGAAACTGCAGAGATACAGGGACCAGATCAAGACATGGATTCAATCCAGTGAGATCAAGGATAAGAAGGTCATTCCTCTTCATTTTTATTTTCTGGTTATTATTTTGAATCATTTCAGCTTTGTAGGTTTGAGTCCCTTTGGATTAGAGTTGTAAAAAAGAGAAGTTACCCAGCCTTTTAGTTTGCTCTTAATCATTGATTAATCCAAGTTTAAATATCAAAAAGCACTGTTAGTTTGGGTTATTTTGAGCCATCATGTTGGTTACAGATTGATGTAGGTACACTTTTTTTTTTTTTTTTTTTTGAGATTGAGTTATATTTTAATATTCAATTCAACTCAGCTAAGCCTCGATTGGAAGCTAGTTTGGGGTTGGCTTCATGTATCTTCCTAATCTATTGAGTATATTTTGGACTAAACTTTCTGGAAGCTGTTATGAGCGTTTTTTGGTTTATCTCACCCCACCCCTCTCTATGCTTTAATCATTTTGCAACTGGTATGTGCAAATAATCTTAAACCATGCTCGTTCAGCTTTATCTGTATAGCTGTCCCTCCACTTTCCCACGCAAGTCTTTGCTTCTTATCTGGTTATTTTTGTGTTACCATACACCCATCTTATCTAAACCTTTGAGGACATTAAGGTAGTAGTTAAGTGGTATTCCATGATGGAATGGTTATTTATTTCCGTGACATGTTATGACATTTTCCCTTCTGATGTATGTTTGACACTGTTGTTGAAGCTTAGGCTGATCTTGCTTTCTTTTGACTCATGTTGTAGGTTAGTGCATCTTACGAGCAAGCTCTGGTGGATGCTCGTAAGACTATTGAAAAAGAAATGGAAAGGTTTAAGATCTGCGAGAAGGAAACTAAGACAAAAGCATTTTCCAAAGAAGGGCTGGGTCAACAACCCAAAACTGTAAGCATTGCATACTTACACTGCCTTGTTTTATGCCTGACCTTGAATCAGATCAGTCAAATGAGTAGTATGGCTGACTAAACCATAAGATTTGTACCTTGGGAGCAGTGGGTGTGATTACTTGGAATTAAATTACTATGTGAGGCGATCCCTACTTATGGTGATGTAATGTGCCTTGACTGCTAGTATTTTCTCAATCTGATGAAGCCTGTTAAATACCTCTCTTGTCTGGCTCACAAATTTGGTGCTTAAATATGTTTTTTTCCCCCACTTAAGTGCTTTACTCGTCTAGACTTGCAGAAATTGCACAGTTTAGAAGTTGTTGATATTGGTGGACATTACTGATGGCGTAGAATTGAGTGCTTCATTAAATGGATTTTTTTTTTCAGTTTTATTAGTTGTCACTTGGGTTTGAGGCTTTGCTGCTGTTGTTGCTATTAGTGGTGATCATTGGGATTGATTCCGTCTCCCTGGAATTAGAAGTTTTATTTCCAATCTTAAAATTGCCTTTTGGGGTTTTGTATGTATTCCATATCTTTAATCTTTATAACTTCAAAAAAATTAAAAAAAATTTCGTCTTTCCAATATTGCTTAGTATGCAATCAGAATTGCTTAGTATGCTGATCTTTTTTTCTGATAGGATCCGAAGGAGAAGGCTAAATCAGAGACTAGGGATTGGTTGAATAATGTGGTATGTAAGTAAGCTGTTTGATTTGCTTTCTTATTGCCTACATGTTTGAGAGTGTATGTAAAATAAAACTGGTCTGACTTTTCAAATTTCATTTCTTTGAGCTGGTACTATAAAATCTTTATTAGGACTTGTAATTGACCTGTCCTCTCTTGTCTTAGTGCATGTTTCATGTTCAGCTGGTTGATTTTTCTTGTTAATTAATGTTCAAAGCTTTATACTTATTCCAGAAAAAAAGAAATCAATGATTTAGAAGAACTATTGAAGTTATAAATGGTTGATGGCTTAGAGATTGGTTTAATAGAATTTAAAATAGTAAAGCTGCAAAAATAAGCTAATATCCCTAGTTCAGTCCTAAAACATTTCTTTTTTGTTTTTCCAACTGGGTTTATAAACTTTAGTTTTCTTAAACTGGTCCAAATGAATGTCTGTTAGTCACATGAGAACCTGCTCGTCCATACCGAATCTGAAACTTTTGTATCTTGAGAAAAAAAATTGAACCTATTTTCAAGGAAACAAAATTAATCTGTTTTGTCAGTTTGGTTCAAAACAATTTGGTTTGAAATAAATAATGATTATGTTTACTTTGATACCATCAAGTTTGAAGTCCTTTTCTGCTTTATGAATCCTCATTTCATCTTGTGGTGTTTTAACCTGCGGTTCCCTTGAGTAGGTTGGGGAACTAGAATCTCAGATTGATAGCTTTGAAGCTGAGATCGAGGGGCTCACTGTCAAGAAAGGAAAGACAAGGCCACCCAGACTGGTAGGACAGAAAAGGAAAATGCAGTTTTTATAATTAATATATTCTTCCTGTTGTAATTTTTTATTTTCACCCTTTTGTTCGGTAGACACATTTAGAGGCATCCATTACGCGGCACAAGCTTCATATAAAGAAGTTAGAGTTGATCCTGAGGCTACTGGACAATGATGAACTAAGTCCTGAGCAGGTTAATGATGTTAAAGACTTCTTGGACGACTATGTGGAACGTAATCAGGTTTGTGTTTTTTCTTTTTTAATTTTTTCTAACAGCACATAATTTTCATCACTCTTGTTGTAAGAGGCATCATGCATTATGTAGTGGATTTTCCCATATTAACCTCTATATTTTCATTTCAATTTAATACTCTTGATGTGTTATTGCGTTCATATGCTTTCTTTTATGTCACATCATCTATCTTTTTGCATGCTGTCTTCTTTGTAGGAAGATTTTGATGATTTTAGTGATGTCGATGAGCTTTACAACTCATTACCGTTAGACAAGGTAGAGTCTCTTGAAGACCTGGTTACGATCGGTCCTCCTGGTCTTGTGAAGGTAAAATTTTATTCCTATTCTTGTTTTCTTCACCTTCTAACATGTGATGGAAAATAATCTCAGCTTTTTCAAAAATGTTTTGTTAATACATTTTCTTTTTTGGGGAGTTTGGGTGGGGGTGGTGGTGTCTCTTTTTCTCAGTTTTATAATTGTTTTTTTCCTCTCCTGTAGGGTGCACCTGTTAACAGCTTAAAGACTTCTGTGGCAACATCAGCTCCTCAAACGCCGGTATGTCTATACACTATCTGGGATTGTTATTCTGATATATCTTTAGCTTTGAATTTATGAAGGATCTTAAGAGAAATTAGTGGTGTCATTTGAGTGTTCCTTTGAGACATATTTATTTTTAGAGAGGTTTTCTTCTTCCTGTTGTTGTAGGAGTCTCATTATGTGTTGCTTTAAGATTTAGTTCGGACCTGTGATGGCTTCCGACTATATAGATGTTTGATTCCTGCTTTATTTTGAAGTGAAGAAAGAAAGTTGTACGTAATGTACATTACTTTTACTTTTGGCTCTTCTAACTCTTTTATTTGACATGGTATAGTTGGAGTTTTATATTTGCTGGGTTTAATATTCTATCATATTAGTTTGTTTGGTCTTGGTTGTTATTAACTGTGCTATGCTGAGGTTAATGCCAAATAGTTTTTTTTCCCCCTTTCAGAATAACTTACTCAATTGTTTTTATCTTGGGCATAATGCCATATGTTCTCAGGAGCTAATTGTTATTACATTCTCCACTTCTTATAGTTGATTTTAGGCCACACTTGGATTGAATAGCTCATTCAGTGTCTAGAGAAGTTCTTGGAATCACAACAGCCTTTTCTCATGTCATGCACCACTTGTGTTTTATTTTCATTTATACCTAAAAAAGGCCAGGGCTTTACCATTTCTAGTCTCTGCACTTATTAATTCCCTAATTGCTTTTTGATTTTTTCCCATGTCCTAATATTGTTGCTACATCAATGTAATGGAATGGTGATTTTCTTTCCAGGCAACTGTTACTTCTACTCATCAGGGTGCTGTTGCTCAAGAGCAAGCCGATGAAACTACTTCACAGGATATTAATTCTGAAGTTGCTGCAAGAACTCCTCCTACCAAAAATAGTGTGGTTGGTTCTGCTGCTGCATCAACACCAACTGGGAATCACACACCTATTTCTGTGAATGTCCAGGTTCCAACAGTGCCTGGTTTGTCAGTACCTTCTCCAACTCTTCCTGGTGCAACTTCTGTTCGAGGTGTGTTGGAAAATGCAGCTCCTGCTAATCCTTCTTCTCCTGTAACACTGACCAATTCTGCAAAGGAGGAAGAAATTGCTGGCTTCCCTGGCCGTAGATCATCACCCTCTCTTGCTGATGCTGGCCTAGCAAGAGGCATTGGTAGAGGTGGCCTCTCTAGCCAGCCTTCATCGAGCATTCCTCTCAGTCCTGGTGTAATTCCAAGCAATGGAGCTCTTGGTTCAGTACCTTCTGCTTCTGACATTGCAAAGAGAAATATTTTGGGAACTGATGATAGACTTGGGAGTGGTGGAATGGTGCAGCCTTTGGCATCCCCACTAAGTAACCGAATGATCTTGCCTCAGGCTGGCAAGGGTAATGATGGAACAGGCGCAGTTGATTCTAGTAATGCTGGTGAAGCTGCTACAATGGGTGGCAGAGTTTTCTCCCCTTTGGTCACTGGCATGCAATGGAGACCTGGAAGCTCCTTTCAAAATCAGAATGAACCGGTATACCTCTTGTTTTAACACTGTCTGTTGTCCTTGTTGATGTTTGTAATAACCTAGGGATGCAAGTGTGAGTTTGTGTGTTTATTTTAGAAGATATTGGTGCAAGTTGTCAAAATATATATATTTTTTACTGTTTAAACCCTCGCTTGTCAAGGACAATTCCAGCTGTGAACTACTCCTTCCACCTGCCTCCCTTTCACCCTAACCATGCCTCGGTAAGCTTTATTTTGTGGAGCATTGGCATTAATGTCAATGGCTTTTATCTAGGATGGTCACCATCCTTCTATTGGAATGGAGGCTCAAGTGTAATTGAGCTGTGTTTATTGGGTGGGCCAAAAAATGGGACATTTGGAAACACAATTGAAAATATTTAAACTTCAATTTTCTAGCATACATGGATTAGCATATTAGATCCATGTATTAGCTTTGCAATTAAGCTATTAGCATACATGCCAATTACTTTATCTGGACTTGTTCCTGGCTGCTTCCTTGGTGGAATTGGTGGTTGCCCCCTCCTAGTGTAATGGAGGTGCAAGTTGTTAATTAAGCTGTGTTTCATGGGTGAGCCTAAAAATGGGATATGGGAATGCTATTGGAAATATTTAAATTTCAATTACCAAAGCCTATATGCATAGCATGATGGATGCAATTGTTTGTTTACTGAGTGACTGAAATGTTCTTTGTGCACCGATCCTCATGGAAGATGATAATGTTGACTTTTTACCTTATCAGAGGATGATGTATCTATGTAAGTCCAAATGTGAAATTGAACATCTCTGTTAATAATCACCAACATTAATAGTATCTAATAACTTTATTGTTGAATGGGGTGATTTTTTTTTAATTAATGCAAGCTCAACTAATTTGATGTGCTTCCAGTGAACTAAAAGAATATGTGCATGATCATGATAAGGTTACCAACCAATGGAAAATGCTATAAGCTTCACATTTACCTGAAATTCTTCTTACCATGTGGCTTTATTCCTTTCTAGTTAGAATATTGGTAAGGGATCAGGATATGATTGGCGTATGTATGTGATGCTTAATCATATGAAGAAAATAAATGCAGAAAACCCCCTCCTATATAACATAGTTTTTATGGTGACCACAGTGTTATGCATTTTGCATATACTTTGTTTTGCTAAATAGCCAATTGGAAGGATATTTGTGTTTTTTGTTTTTGTTTTTGTTGTTGTTGTTGTTGTTGTTTTTTTTTTTTTTTTTTTTTTTTTTACAAGAGGATTGAAAGATCAAATGAGGGAGGGAAGAAACTTTATACCATGCATAACTGCTGGTGGTAATGCTAAAGAATTTAAAATATGAGCAAAAGTAGATGGGAAGAGTGAGGGACGCTGGATGAGTAAACTTTGAAATATTTGATAGCTCACTGACATTTTTTAGTAGCAACCATATGTAGTATTACTCAATGGACAAATGACAATAATTGTTCATGTCAAATGTTTAGATTTTAGCTTCTTGACATGAATTGTCCATGCCAGAACATGTTGACTTAATTGTTCCTTAAGTTGACTTAAATTATGGTTTTTTAAATTAAGAAATATTGTCAAAACGCAATGCCATGTTGTTTTAAAGTGACAGTATTTCTGCTGCAGGGCCAATTTCGTGCAAGAACTGAAATAGCTCCTGATCAAAGGGAGAAATTTTTGCAGCGTCTTCAGCAAGTCCAGCAGCAAGGTCACAGTAACATTCTTGGCATGCCGCCTCTTACTGGTGGGAATCATAAGCAGTTTTCTACGCAACAAAACCCACTTTTGCAGCAGGTGCTTTTTATTCTTTAGGATTTTTCTTTCCCTGTCTTTTCCTTTGCTGTTTGAACAAGTCAGCTTGGGGAAAAAAATTGAGTCAAAAATCTTGTAGGGTGCTGTTTCATGTTCTCTATCTCAGTTATGAAGTGAAGTTAGCTTGGTTGTGAATTGTAATTGTGTCTTTCTATTTTGTGGACTTGCAGATTTTTTTCATTCTAGACAAATCTCTTGTAGATTTGTGGATGAAAGTTATTAGCAATCAGATATAACTAATACCAGCCTTTCTTTATAGCAGCTGATACCATTTCCATTCATTTGTTGCTTGATCACTTAACATTTCCGTTGAGCTTTATAGGATAAATATCCCTTTTGCTTTTAGTATCTCTCTTTTCTTTCTTCACTTTTAGTTGATAACAAGGTTTATGTTACTGTTTTGGAATTCAATATAACTATAGTTATAGAACAAGCTATACATTTGCTTGAAATAATGTTTTGATCATTATTCAGCAACGTTGATGAATTATATTATCTGTTCACAGAAGCTTTTGTTTTTGTTTGCATTCTGTTGACGATCCTATTCATTCTGCATTTCCAGCTTCCATGCATAAAAACTCAGTCTGATACCTGTTGTTTTTTTTTCCCTTTTTGGCATCATCCGATTACATTACAGTTTAATTCTCAAAGTTCATCTGCCTCTCAAGCTAGTTTGGTACTTGGAGTTCAGGTATCAGGTTTCAATACTGTTACATCTGCTGCTCTACAGCAGCCAAATTCCATCCATCAGCAGTCTAATCAGCAAGTTGTTATGTCGAGTGGTTTGAAAGATGCTGGTATTCTTCATTCTTCAATTCACTTGTCATGATTGAAATTTGGAAACACTATCATAAAATGGGCTTACATTAATTCCATGAATAAATAATGCAGAAGTTGGCCATCCAACAGTTGAGGAGCAGCAGCTAATGCAGAATTTACCTGAGGATTCAACCACCGATTCTGCTTCTACAGCTGGGCTTGGCAAGAGTCTTGTGAATGAGGATGAACTCACAGCTTCATATGCCATGGATACTTCTGTATGTAGAATTATTCCTAATCTTGCCTGCTGTGAAGGTTTTTGGTTTTAAGTATTCCACATGCTTTGAACCCATCCTCCTCTACCTGGGATATATTTTAAATTTCCCTGGCTGGAAAGGTTGAAATGAATTGTTAACCCAGATATGTTTTCAGGTTTGGGACTTTTCCAGCACTACGAACCCCACATGACCTTTCCTGATCTTATTTGTTAGTATTCTTATGGGTTTTATTATATTTGAGTTTGATATCCAGCATTTAAAAAAACACGATTAAACATCAGAATGATTCAACCTACAGAATTTTGAAAGCCCCTGTATTTTGATAGTGTATCCTCAGCATGTCCTCTCTCAACTTTGTTAGTGAGAACAGGGATGGGACGGATTCTCTGTGAGCAATGATTGGGCAGGTATCCCAATAACAAATAGACTTGGTTGCAACTTGCAAGCTGTTATCACAATTTCATAACTAGTACACCTTTAATTTTTAAATTTGTGTAATTCACTGTAACATGCAAGTAACTTTAGTCTTGAGCTTATTTTATCCTGCAAACTGATGCTCTCTCTCTCTCTCTCTCACGTTCACATGCATGCGCACGCACACTGGCACACAAGCAGCTTATTTCTATCTTTTAATTTTGATGGTTGTGTTTATTCCATCCATGGTTTTCTCTTATTGTACCCTTTTACCGGTAAAGGGGTTCGTATGTTGAGATGACTTGTCCCTGATTCAGCTTTGTGAATTAACATGTAGATTCTATGTTTACTGTGGATCTACCTCAGTAAAGTCACAATGTGCTGGGCCAGGATTCTTTTTAGGAAGCCATTGCATTTTCCTTTTGAAATTCTATGCCATTAATTGCCTTGTAAGCACTTTATTGTGGTTTACAATTTGGTTGTGCTGTGCAACTTTATGTTCAAGGTAGAAGTTGGTTTTGAATGTCTTTGCTTCAGGCTGGAGCATCTAGTTCCTTGACGGAGTCTGTACAAGTGCCAAGAGATATTGATCTCTCTCCAGGGCAACCCCTACAATCCAGTCAACCGTCAGGTGGCCTAGGTGTCATTGGCCGGAGAAGTGTTTCGGACCTTGGTGCCATTGGTGATAATCTCACTGGATCTGCTATAAATTCTGGGGCAATGCATAATCAGTTATACAATTTGCAGATGCTTGAGGCTGCATATCACAAGCTTCCTCAACCTAAAGACTCTGAACGAGCTAGGAGCTATATTCCTGTATGGATGTGCAGTTATCTTCATATTATAGCACTTCTAACTATGGGCAAATGTTGTGTGTGTGTTGTAATTTGTATCTTGTTTGTCTGGACAGAGGCACCCTGCAGCCACGCCTCCTAGCTATCCTCAAGTGCAGACACCAACGGCAAGTAATCCTGCATTCTGGGAACGACTAAGCATGGATAGTTATGGCACTGATACCCTGTTCTTTGCTTTTTACTATCAACAGGTGATGTGGCATCCTATGTTTTTTCATTATTATCCAGTTTTGTTTTATGTCATACAGTTACTGCAAACTTCTTCTCAAGCCAATTATCATTTGCAGAATACCTATCAGCAATATCTGGCGGCAAAAGAGCTAAAGAAGCAATCTTGGAGATACCACAGAAAATACAACACCTGGTTTCAACGGCATGAGGAGCCAAAAGTTACCACTGATGAATATGAACAGGGGACTTATGTGTATTTTGATTTCCATGTTGGCAACGAGGACAAACAAGGATGGTATGCTGATTTTGATTTTGACTCTCCACTTGGTTTCTATTACTGCTACTGCTGAACTTTGTATTATGGAAAACTTTATACAAGCAGAAAGTCATAAATAAAAATCTTATTAACTGATGTGACAAGTCATATAATATTGGATAAGCGATGTACTGCCATATAATTGACTATTAAAATTATTGCATCAAATGTTATTTGTGTTGGTAAGGTTTTTCAGTATAATTTTTCTGTTTGTATAGCTTTATTGCACATGTAGTGAAATTATTTTTGTTTTCGTGCAAGGATGAGATAGAATTGTTTCATTCTATAAGAGGTAAGGATGAGATAGAATTTTTTTCATCGTATAAGAGGATGAAATAGAATTTGCTTCGTCATGTAAAATTTTCAAAGTGGGGGTTCACTTCATTAGCCTGTGGGTAATATGGGTGAAATATTGTGCAAATGTGCTTCTACCTTGGCATGTCAGTTAAATTTTTTCAACATTATTTGCCCTTATATATTACAGTGACTTCAATATTTACGTATTCACAGAAGCTTGCACAGATGAACAGATGTGTTTGTGTGAATTTATTGCATGGTTTTGTCTAAATTCTCATGATAAGGCAATTTAGCAAAGAATTTGTTATCTGTTTGATTTCAATCTAGTTCAATCCCTCATATTCTTGTGTACGTTGCAGCTCATCTTCATCAAAAAGTGAGTTCATTTCATGACTGTGCTTGTGGTTCTTATGATTTCTGTTTTTGGTTTGTTCAGGTGTCAGAGAATCAAAACAGAGTTCACTTTTGAGTATAACTATCTTGAAGATGAACTCATTGTCTAGAAGATGTGCGGTACTAGAAAAATCATGCCGTTTAAATCCTGGTTTGTGGTATGCCAACTTTTCTTGATTTCTTAGAAAGTCTTTTTGTTAGGAACATCTGTTGTATACAATATGATTTGGTCTTTTAAGAGGAGTTCAAGACTATTGGAATATTTTTATATATGTGTGCGTGTGGGGGGGGGGGGGAACTTAAATCTTCTATTATAGCTGTTCCCCTTCAGTTATAATTTATATTGTCTTTCATCCATATAAAACCCTGTTTATGCTGCTAAATCCTTCAGCGTGCTCCCTAGATTGGCTGTTTGTCATTCTGAGACTGATTAGTTGATCTGTAGCTATTTTCCATGCTGATTGAATTGCAAGTTTGATAGTTGAATGTATTTCAGCTGAATATTGTTATTGGTAAACTGAATAACACAACTGCTTCATTTCTATGTTGACATCAACCGTCATGTTTGAAATTCTCTTTTAGAGGTAGATCTCTTGCGGTTCTGGCGTATGTTCCTTTAAGAGCCATATATGGCAAATTTGTTATGTCACCTTTGAGATTAAATTTATGACACTACATAGTTGCCTGTTTTGTTTGATCTTTTGAACCAAGCAAATACCAAAGCATTTCAAGCATGCTGTATTACTTTGTGCATGGCTTTTTGGTTGAAAGATGCTACTCATGTAAAATCTTGTAGTTGCACAGGTTTTATGCTGTTATATTTAGTTTTTAAACTTTCTAGCTAATTGCTACTTTTGTTAGCATTTGTTAGCGTTGAATTTGAACCTGTGCTTTGACCTTTCTCCTTGCAGATGATTGCCTGTGAATTGGTAGCGTGCTAGTTAATACGATTGAATTTGGCTGCTGTGAGAATTATGAATTCGGGTTGTACTTCATTTTCTGTGGTACTCTAGTTAGGTTCCATGTTTTTCATTTTTGGGGAATTTGTAATTTGTAGGTGTATGGCAAACATGATCTTTGCTTCTGAAGCATATTAATGCAAGCCTTTTTTTTTTGTCCTTGTATTTATATTATAAGAATAGCTGTGATGAAATTTATGAAATTGAGCCTCTAAATAATTCCAGCAAGTGCTTTCTAATGCACTCCGTAACTTCTGAGAAAAATGCATTTTCTGAAATTATTTATATTTTGCAAAATTACATGCGAGGAATCATACCGATCCATTGTTTTGGATTTTGAATATGAATCTCGAAAGGCAAACTGTAATTTGATGTATGCCTGCATTTGAAATATGCGTGTATTCTGATTTGTTGAGGCTGTGGGATGTAGATGTTGCCTGCATCTTTTGATGCATGGTTAATGAGCGTGTGATTCACTGTAATTTGAAATATACTGTTCTCCCTGCAGTGTTTGTTTTTCAGGCTAGGTAATGAATTTGGGCGTAAGCTACTAGCACAAGAAATGTGGAGCCAAATCCGAATAGAAATGTCGTAGTCAGCAACTTCACCTTATTATATTTTCTCTTCTATTTGTTGATTTTGACCTTGTAATATGGAATATGGAGATCAATCTTTGTGAGAAGCGCTGGACGCTAGTAAGGAACATGTGACCAACGGCTGACCTGGGTTGGAAAAACACGATGCAATGTCCAGGCTTGAAGCATTTCATAATGGAGTTATATAAATAAACACACACTATACCAGATGCCATGTCTTATTTTCATTAGTGTTCACAACTTCAAGGAGCATAATTAATAGAAGATTAAAGAATTAATATTAAATGAAATAAAATTACTCCACTTCTTTTTCTCTAGGGTGTGATTTTTAAGGAAACTATTATAAAATGAAATAAAATTTTCATTCCTTTTTAATTATTTATGCAGATTGTTTGTCGATTGATACGAGAGTATATGAAAGCTGGTAGAAATATATCCTAGGGTGATCAAAACCCTACTAAAACAAGGATGCAAATGAGAGACATGCTAATGGTGCAAAAATTACCTGGCGCATAGTAACCCTACCCAAACAAGAGGGTGGATTCGGAATCAAGAAGATTAAAAAGTAGAACTATGCATCTATTATACGATGCATTTGGAGTTTGTTTCTAAAAACTGGATCATTATGAGTTGCTTGAATTGCTACTTATAAATCGAGAGGAAAGAGCTTCTGGCGTCTAAAATGCTCTAATGATTGTGCTTAGCATTGGAAGAAACTTCCTAAGCTCAGAGATATAATTTGGAAACAAATTCATCGTATTGTTGGTAATGGCAAAACAATAAAACTATGGTGGGATCTTTAGCATCTAGATGAAATTCTCATCAATGTCTTTGGCACAAGATTTATGTATGAATTTGGTATTCCTACTGATGCTTTGTTGGATGTTGTTATAAAGGATGAAGAGTGGTTCTGACCTAATGCTAGATCAAAAGCTATGATAAAAGTGCTATCTCCTATATATGGCGTGCTTGTGCCTGATGCCAATTTTGATAATAAAGTCATATGGAAAGCTACACCAAACAGTAAATTCACAACTAAAATCACTTCCGAGCTGGTCAGAAACAAAAGTATTAGAATGGTGTGGCATAAACTTGTTTAGGGATCATTTAATATCCCAAGACATAGTTTTATCTCTTGGCTTGTAATTTGGAATCGTTTATCCACTAAAGATAGACAAATTTGAATGGGAAGAAATATCAATGCTATTTGTTTGTTGTGTGAAAATACTAATGAGGATCGAGATTATTTATTTTTTGAATGTTTCTACTCTATGATTGTGTGAAATGTTGTTCTTCTTAAATGTAGATTTCATAGAGTAATTGGTTGTTGGAGTATAGAATTATAATGGACACTAGAGTATTTGCGAAAAAAAGAATTCAATCTTTTATTACCAAATTGATATGAAATGCAACCATTTATGGTTTGTGAAAATAAAGAAACCGTAGAATCTATGGTAAAAATGTTTCTTCTCCATATGATGATATTAGATGGATTTGTTAGATTGTTTGTTATTAGTTACACAATTCTAAACTTTTAACCGAAGCAATGCTTAATTCAATATTTGAGTCTATTTATATTTAGTGAATGTTGTCCTAATCTGTTTCATGTATTTATTATGAATTCATACTTTGTAGTAGGATAAACTCGGACTTGTATCTTTTTTATGAATAAAAAATTTCATTTAACAATATATATGTGTGTGTGTGTGTATGTGCGCACGTGCGCATGTAATATTGAGCTTTTCAACAAGTGAGGAGCCATGAACACACTTTTTTATTCTTGGTGGAAAACATATCATCGATGGGGAAATATATGACATCAAAGAGTGCATCAATACAAAGAAAACTTCTAACACAAAAACCCTCCAAAAAAGTAGCTTCGATTAAGCTAAGGTGGAGGGAAAACTAAAACTTTATTGCTACATGTATTCAAGCCAGCCTAATGTTACAATCCATTTTATTTCGAGTAAATTAAAAATAAGTCTTTCTATTTTTGAAAAAAAAATTATTTAATTCTTCTTGTTTCAAAACATAATGATTTAGTCCCTTAACCAACACTGATCATATTCAATTTAATATTACTTCATTTCATACAATGTCATCTTTTCTTATCAATTATTTCATATTTTTTATTTTTAAAACAAAAAAAAGTAAATAAGTAAATTGAAAAAGAATGAAATGATTAGTTACAAGAAAATTGATTTAATGGTAAAAATTACTTCAAACTACTAAGTTTTGGCAATTTCATGCCTTTATTGTCAATTTGGGTTAATTGGACTCTAATTTTTTCTTTTTGCCAAATGTAATCTGTACCCGTTATCTTTAACAATCAGCCATTTGACCATTAATATTTCAGTTTTTTTTTAGTCAAAATATAAATTACATCAGATTGCATTATGGTTGTTCTTTAGATTTCAAAACTAATAACACTCATAAAAAACTTTAAAAGTATAAATAATCAAATATAAAACAAAAATACATATATTTAAATAAAAATAAAAGTACAAATATTTGATTGAAAATAAAATAAAATATTCATACTTATATGATAGACAGGTTATCATGTTAACGCATCAATTTAATAGTTATGTCAATATAAATATAACAATAAAAATACATGATTATAAAAATTTACATTAACAAATATCTAATTAATACAAATGATATGTAGTTAATGTAAATTTTTGACATAACCATTAAATTGATATGTCAACATGCTAATATGTCCATCACGTGAGCAAGAATATTTTATTTTATTTCTAATTGAGTGTTCATATTTTTGTTTTTTTATTTAAATATATGATGTACTTTTATTTTTTCTATTTGATCGTTTATACTTTTAATATTTTTTTATGAGTGTTATTAATTTTAAAATTTAACGAATAACTGTCATATAATTTTATGTAGACCATATTTTGACTAAGTTAAAAAAAAAAAAAAAAGATTGAAATGCTAATGGCTATAGAGTTGACCATTAACAGTCAATCCTTTGGCTATTAAAATTGACTAATGAAGATAACATTTGCTTAAATATAATAGTTTGGGATCCAATTGATCCAAATTGAAAGTAAAAGCCTAAAATTACCAACATCTAATAGTTTGGAGGCAATTTTTGCCATTAAACCCAAGAAAATTTAAATGTCTATTGACTAAATGGAGCATATATATTTCCAACAACAATCTCAAAACTCCACTTGCACAACTTTTTAATGTATTTTGATCACCTCAGCCATCAATGCATCTGCAGATAATTAAGTTAACAGTTAATCAAACAAAGACATTACTGATAATTAAAATCAATAAATCCTACTTAAGAAATATATTTTCCAAACATTCACTGTACATTAGTTAGAATTTCCACATTGGAGTCGTGTATGTTCATAATCTGGTTTGGGGAATGAAGATTCATGGGATAAGGAGCTGATATCTCCCACAGCACAGCACAATAGAGATTGGGGTGGAGGGAGGAAAAAGGAGTACAAATTATCAGCAGCAACATCACAATGCGAACAAATGCAGATTGACCACTGAGAGAAAACTTGAATCATGGGCACACGGATTTGTATTTCATCATCAACATTTAAAAAGAAATATATATATATACATACACACACACAACAAATCAATCGATCCAGCTTCAGAATGAGTGATTACCTTGGTCTTTTTAAAGACTTCCGCCTGAAAATTTGAACATGCTTGCCATGAATGGGACTCCACGCCACCCTGGATTCATAAATAATTTTTTTTGGGACTATTTCATAGCTTGAAAGGTTATGTAAAACACATAACCCGCTGTTAAAGCATACGTTGCTTGCACAAGGCGCGAAAATACCAAGTGTTTATCTTTATCCTAGTGTAAGGAAACCAAAATTGGAAAAAGAAAATTATTAGATAGCATTTTATCACGCTTAAGCAACAATCTGTCACAAAAACAGCTATTACCTTTTGTTTATTGTTGTAATCATCAATAGCAAAGCAAGCGCACTCAGTGATTCGAGGAATCAAGGAGCTCTTCTCCAAATCAACTGGATAAACGCCACCCCAGCGTACTATCTTCATAGAATTCGATAAATCGTGCTTCATCAGCCAGTGATCTCTCCGCCAAGGAAGACATGACTACAAACAACTCTTTGCTTTTTCCTTCTTCTCTGCAAAACCTAGACTGCTGATTCGACTTGGGGCTCTATCTTTTATATTTAGTAAATTGTTAGGCAAACCTCAGAGCAGTCGCCCAATTATATACAGCTTCTCGATTGAGTCTCCTAGTTGCTAATTTTATCAACTTGATCCTCTTAAGGTATTATGGTCAAATGTGAATTAGCAACAAAACCACATCAGAACAACAACAGAACTGATCCAATCAACAATTGAAATCAAACTATATCTCAACAAAACTCCAACTTGCTTTTAAAGGAACTAAATGTACTAATATACTATTAAGCTGTAAAAAAACGTTTTTTTATCTCGTTCAAAAGAGGAACAATTACTGTTAAACACCAAAACACCAATCCAAACACTAACTTTACATAATAGGGTTCCTCCTCTTCTAACACACCGATATGATATCACAGCATTAATCAAAATAACAGGTTATGATTAATTGAATTAAAAAAAAAGAGCCCACATTATAAAATAAATTGGGAGAGAAAGAAAAGAGCAATGAAATGCAAGAGGTAAACTATTAAAGTGTAAGATTAATGGGTTTTAGATAATGATAATTAAGTGAGTAATAAAAAAACGAACCTTTAATTAACTTCAGAGAAGTTACTAATTAATTCATTTATCGAAACTAGATGGATTAATTTATAATTTACTCTTTTTAATTCTCATTCGGGATTAAAATATCATCATTCTCTTCTAATGTATGTTAATTTTTTCCCTTAACCAAGAACACATTTGCCCTAAATCGCCCTACTAGTTCCATAAAAAGTCCAAACCAAGCTTAGTGTTTTTATATGATATAAAATAGAACATATATCTCCAACCATGTACTTAATAGCAAAGCCATATATGATACGCAGGTAGCAATAAAATATTTTTCTAGAGATCAGAAGATTATACGGTAGAAATCAAGTTGCAGTGTATTGGATTAGTGAAGCAGGAGAAGCTTGAATTCCCTCAACGGCAGCGTCTTATTCCCTTACGTGACCGACAGAGCATTGTGGGTGCCATCTATAGCAAGTTTTTATAGTATATAAATAACACAGTTTTGTTGCATTGTCGATTCTATGTTCTTTCTTTCAATTAAAATCAACTTTTTCATCCCTGATTATGAGACCTGAAATGGCACAAGTACAAAAGCATAGATTCGTAACTAACAGTCTCAAGAAAATATATATTTTCAAACGTTCTCTCAGCATTAGTTTCATCATTACCATCAGCTGCTTGTTCCAGCGCACAGGACAAATCTTATGTATCTATATAACACACATGCTTAAAAATGCAACGTAGAATGCATGTTTGCAAGAATAATTATGTCAATCCGTAGCTTGAACAGACCAATTACTACATAGTTAAAGTTTCCAGTACGGAGTTCTTGTGCCTGAGGGTATATATAGGTGAAAGGATCTGAAAAAAGGAGACAAATCCTTGCAGAACTTCGGATGATAATTCAAAGATAACAGGCCTATGAATTAGCGAGACCTACCCATCCAGCATGGGTGCTGCTGGGCTCTAATCATCTGTCCCTAGCTTGGAAAAGAGGGCGGGTGGACGACAAGGCATTGATTAATTCTCAGGGTTGGGATGCAAGCAATGGCCATAAATAGGTGATAAAAGGCTATATACAAATAAAGAAGCCACCTCCCTGACATCAGACATGAATACCAATGGGAATGGAGATGATCAGAAGCGATAATCTAATGCGTACGTATGCATATTTCAAGCAACATGAGAAGGGATTGCTGATGAAAAATTGAACAAGGAGAACAACATCTGATCCTTGTCATCATCACTGTTTGGAAAAAAGTGTAACTAATTAATTACATTTCAAGCTGAAAACCTCAACATTCTTGTCATGATTGACTCTCCAGACCACCGTGGTTTCATAAGTTTTCTTCTTTTGAGAGGAAAAGGAAGAATCTACAGCATCAAAGTTCATGTAATATATCGTTCCAGTAGTTGGATAATAAGTTGCCCTCAAAACAACACCTGAAAAATACCATTTTCCATCCTAGTTTGGATGACAAACGAAAATTTATGAAAGAAAATTAGTTTGATACTCAGTATTTATTGAATATTTTACTTACATGTTACTGATCATCAATAGCAAGGCAAGCACGGCCCTTGTCCTGTTCAGCAGCCCTGGATGTTTCTGTAAACGAACCGGATAATTGCTACCAATAAAGGGCACGTCTGCCCGGAAGGTAACTCCAAATCCCTTTAAAAGAAAAAAGAAGAAAACCTCAGTCTCGTCTATCTACTTGTGATAGAGGTGAAAATGTTCCTCCAAAATTTCTCTTGAACCTAGAAGGTCTTCAATTCAACTATGTTCTCAAACATAAATCCAGAGTTCAAAAGAAAGTGATGGACGAACTCAGTCGAAGATATGCATTATTTACTATGTTATAAGTTAAGTTGTTGGATTTGAAGTGATGAAAAACTTGTACAAAAGAGATGAATACTTTGGCATTATATGGTAGCAATGTGGTACGTCTTCTTAATTTAAAAAAAAAAGATGAACTCGATCATTACCTAATTGCCAAGGAGTTTATCTTTTTTTCCGATCACGAAGCACTTAAGTATTTGCATAGCCAAAACAAATTGAAAAGAAAACATGCAATATGGAGTGAATTTATGTCACAATTCAACTATGTTCTCAAACGTCAATTTAACTAGAGTTCAAAACAAAACAGTGGATGTACCGAGTCGAAAATATGCATTATTTACTATCTTATAAGTTCAAGTTGTTGGTTTGGATTTGATGAAGAGCTTGTACAGGAGATGAAGACTTCGGCACTATATGACAGCAATGGGGCACTATCATAAGTTATGAATTTCATAATTATTCAACGATTGGTTAAAAATGAAAGGAGCAGTTGTCATATCTGTTTACATGAAATTTTTATTTGATTTGTTTGTGCGTAACTTACACTTACTCTGATGCTAAGATGGAGAGGGGAAAAAACCTTAGTCAGGGGATAACTTGTCTTCTTCTTTTTCCTAGGCAGCATAGTATATAGCATTGTATGATATTAGTCTTAGGATAACAACACGATCCAAAAACAATCTGAGGTATTCTCAAAAAGAAAAGAACTTTAAAAAAAAAAAAAAAAAAAGAAAAAAGGAAAAGCATTGCCATGAATATATATCGTGAATTAGTGATGTGTTTATGTTTTACAGCTCAATACGTATTTTTCTCAAAGCTAAAATAGCATATGGTTACTGTAATGCTGCTTAAGCATGTACTCAGCGATGAGCATATATTCGGGTGAAAACTTGTCATTTTTGGTAATTTCTAGAATTGTTTTCTTTTATTTGAACGTGTTTTACAGGAATTCGGGTAACTCAAAATTTTTTTTACTCACTATCCCATTAATCTTTTTACTTAAAATCCTAAAAATAATACAATTAACTAGTTAAAATTAATTAGGCCTAATTAAAGTTTTGATTAGCTAAAATTAAGTTCAAGGAAAATTACGAGTCCGTTAGTTGTAAAAATTTACAAATAAAAAAATATAATTCGGGTAATTATGGCAACACAAATTATTTTTAGTTTTATCTTTTAAAAAAAAATTCAGTAATTATCCTTTCCATGTAATTCTTTAGAATTGTTATCCGAATTTGTTTGGATAATTGGGGTTTTTAAATAATGTTCACCCAATATGCACCCAAGTAAAATGACATGATCATTCTCTCACTTACTCATTTTATTGGGGAACAATATAATATTGCCACTCCAAAATTAATAATAGCACCCCACTCAATAATGCTCTTACTAGTTAAAACAGTGCTATTGAGTGAAATGCTATTAATTATAACAATGGAATAGCATCATTATCATCCCATTTCATAACAGTAATAAATAAAAAGTTACAATTCTATAGGAGTTAGCTTAATGCATGGTAACTCCTGTGAAATTAAAAATAAAAGGTTTTATTTTCAAGTTATCGATTCATTCACATTTAACTAATTAATAGATCAAATTTCTTTTGAAGTTTAATCTATTTGAAAATTAATTCTTCAAATTCTAATTTCAGGTTTGACATCTCTAAACTTTTTTTTTTAAGATTTAAATCATTTTTTTAGTTTTCTATCAAAAATAACAATCATATAAATAGCTTTATTTTGAAAATCATTGAGTAAGATTTATTTGAACCTCCTAAAAAAATTTGAAATCATTCTAGATTATTTTCTTTTTTTATTTTCTATATTTTTAATATTCAGAAAATAAACAAATATATTTTCTGATCTTTAAAAATTTTGGGATTTTTTTAAAAATAAATTAGATTTTTCAAAGCATGCAAAATTTCAGCTCAAAATATCAAAACCTAAATTTTTTTTAAAAGAGATGAGTGATAACTGAAAAATAT